TGAACTGCAGATAACAGTCAGCTGAAGTGGCCTGCAGTACTGCACCCTAACCACTGCTCCACCTCGGCTCAGTTAATTCAGTGACGGTTCAAAGTTACAACTGAAAAAAGTGACTTATGGCCATTGTTCACAATTACGACCACTGCAGCGTGGCCATGTGATCGAAATTCAGACGTTGGGCCACTGGTTTCCATTTATGACGGTCGCCGGGGGTTTCGCAATCCCCATTTGCAACCTTCTGACAGGCAAAGCCAATGGGGAAGTCAGATTCACTTAACAACCATGTTATACTGACTTAACCACTGCAATGATTCGCTTAACTGTGGCAAGGAAGTTGATAAAGTGAGGCAAAATTCATTTAGCGGGGGAGGGAGGGGGGGGGAATGAAGGATGGAAGGAAAGATGGAAGGAAGAATGAAAGAGAAAAAGAAAAAGAAAGAGGGAAAGAAAGGACAGAGAGACAGACACAGAGACAGAGAGAATGGATAGGTGGATAGATGGAGGGAAGAAAATAGGAAAGAGGGAATATGAGAAGGAAGGAAGGAGGGAGGGGGAGGGAAAGAAAGAAAGAAGGAAGGAAGGAAGGAAGGAAGGAAGGAAGGAAGGAAAGAAAGAAGACAAACAGAGAGGAGGATAGATGGATGAATAAGGAAAGAAAATAGGAAAGAGGGAATATGAGAAGGAAGGAAGGAGGGAGGGGGGAGGGAAAGAAAGAAAGAAAAAGAAAGAAAGAAAGAAAGAAAGAAGGAAGGAAGGAAAGAAAGAAAAAAGAGACAGAAACAGAGAGGAGGATAGATGGATGAATAAGAGAAGAAAATAGGAAAGAGGGAATATGAGAAGGAAGGAAGGAGGGAGGGAAAGAAAGAAAAAAAAGGAAGAAAGAAAGAAAGAAAGAAGGAAGGAAAGAAAGAAAAGAGACAGAAACAGAGAGGAGGATAGATAGATGAATAAGGGAAGAAAATAGGATAGGGGGAATATGAGAAGGAAGGAAGGAAGGAAGGAAAAAGAAAAGAAAGTCTCCAGTGTTTGAAAGAAAACTAAGAGGTAAAATAAAATCCATTTGTTGGTCATCAAAGCCAATGTTTACTTTTTTAAAAAAATCAAGTACTTCTATTCCTGAGCCAAGTCCAACATTTTCCCTGAAACACACACACACATACACACACACACACACAAACGTTCCTGCATGACAGCCTCTGTTGCACTCCATGTCAGCTGTTGCAAGTTTAAAATACCCCTGTAATATTTAGATGAATAGGTTGGAGAGCAGAGGAGGGAGGGACGGAGGAGGGATCGTGTTTCTGGCCAGGAAGCCCCCAGCCCATGTCCTTGCCTCCTCGGTTTATTTAGAAGAACCCAAGGCCTTGCCAAGGGAAATCGTCCCATGTTGCGCCAAGACGGGCTATGGGACTCTTGTGTGTGAGGTTGGTTGTGAGTGTGTGTGTGTGAGAGAATGAGGGTGGGAAGCAGGGAGAGAGAGAGAGAGAGAGAGAGGAAGAGAGAGAGAAAGAGAAAAAAGAAAAAGAAGAGAGAGACAGGAAAAGAGAAAGAAAAAGAAAAAGAGAAAGAAAGAGAAAGAAAGAAAGAGGGAAAGAGGAAGGGAGAGAGAAGGAAAAGGAAGACTGAAAAACAGAGAGCAAGAAAGGAAAAGAAAAAAAGAGACAGGAAATGAGAAAGAAAGGAAAAGAATAAGAGAGCAAAAGCGAGAGAATGAAAGTGAAGAAAGAAAGAAAGAAGGAAAGAAAAAAAGAAGGAAAGAAAGAAAGAGGGAGGGAGGGAGGAGGAAAAAGAAAGAATGAGAAAGAGAAAGAGACAATAAGAAAGAAAATGAAAAAAGAGATGGGAAAAGAGAAAGAAAAAGAAAAAGTGGGAGAATGAATGAATGAAAGACAGAGAGAGAAAGGGGGAGGGAGGAGGGAGGAAAAAGAAAGACTGAGAAAGAGAAAGAGACAATAAGAAAGAAAATGAAAAAAGAGATAAGAAAAGAGAAAGAAAAAGAAAGTGAGAGAAAGAAAGAAAGAAAGAAAGAAAGAAAGAAAGAAAGAAAGAAAGAAAGAAAGAAAGAAAGAA